GGGGAAGGGCGCAAGCTGAGCACTGAGCACACAGCAAAAACAAAATACCTGCAGCAGATCACGTCTACAATGTATACAATGTAGGTGCGACCGACAATAAAAAAGTGGGGGCGGCGGCGGCGGGGGGGGTTGGGGCAACGCAAACTGAGCAAAAACAAGTATCTTAAAACACAAAAACAAAAATCGCACCTCCTGCAGCAGATCACGTCCGGGTGCAGCCCGACGGAGCGCAGCTCCCTCACGGTCTGCTGCGTGGGCTTCGTCTTCTGCTCCCCCACGCTCCCCAGCACCGGCACGAGGGTCACGTGCACCAGGGACATCCTCTCGCGCCCGACGCGGAACTGGAACTGCCTGAGAGCCTCCAGGAACACCGACGACTCAATGTCGCCCACGGTGCCCCCGACCTGCGATTGGTGCGTTTCGTGTCGATCGAGGAGTGGTGTGTCTTTTGGTTGATTAGATCCATGTCGACCGTGCAAGCTACAATGTTGGTTACCCCGGCTGGCTATATGAAAGACGTGCGGTGTATGGAGGGTGGTGTGTCTCTTGGCAGACCAATGAAAACACGTCGTACAGCAGCAGCAGTGTCAGCGAGAGGATGAATAGGACGGGCGCAGCATCGGAGAAGGAAGGGGTCTGTCTGCGGAGGGCTCCGGGAGAGCAAAGTCTTCCGTGCGGCGTTCCACGTGCGACCAGAACAGGTCGTATATCCCGAAAGGAGCTGAAAAGACACCACAGCAGGTGACTACTTCCGATGTACTGCGCCATAGAGGACGTAAAGGGATGAGCTCGGGAAAAGAAAAAAAACAGTTTTCTGAATACTAAACGGACGTAAAATGTTTTCTTTCTTGTCACTTCGATGAGGCAGCAAAGGCCGTATACCCCCAAGGAGACGAAAGACCCAAGAGACTACTATTGTACTCTTGTCGCAGAGAGAAAGCAACTTTTTTTTTTTTCCTCCTTACCTCGATGAGGCACACGTCCGGGCGCTGGTTCGACCCGTCCACCGGGATCTCCGCCACTCGCTCTATCCACGCCTTCTCGGATCGAAACCCCGCAAACGACCGATCAAGACAACGGGCAGAAAGACACGACAAGATGCAGGTGGCAGCAGCAGCAGCAGTAGCAGCAGCAAGCAGTGGCTCGTGCGTTAGAGCGGCCGCTGCGTTCGAAAGCGGGCAACCGCAACATTTTTGCAAGCAGCCGAACTTTTTCGATGAGGCCGCGGCATCGCTCAGCAGTTACCCAGCAGGCCGCAGCGGGAATACGATCGACAGCAGTTAAAATCATACGGTACACGTGAGAGTTCTTGTTCCCCCGGCTCGTTCAACGTCTCGCCGAGAGTAAAGACGGAAAAATGCGGCTCTTTCAATGTCTAGCCGGGAAGAATATAAACGCAGCAAACAAACTGCTGTGGGCTCTTTCAAAGTCTCGTCGAGAGCAAAAGGCGGCAAAAATGCCGCTCGTTCAACGCCTCGCCGAGTCTAAAGACGGCAACACGCGACGCGGCATTCGAGCGTAGCCTAGAACTCTACTTCGATGGGTTACGAGACAACGTCACGTGCATGTACCCTCGCAAGATGGCTGGAGAGAATAGGCTTCGGAAGAACAAAGACGGCGAGATTGGGGAAGTGATGCATTCGCAGGGGCGCGAAGTATACGATACAGTTGACGTGCAGTCGGACAAAACAATAACAGTAGCAACTAGGACGTAATCGTCAGCGCGAACGACTTAAAAAAGCAAAGCAGCTGGTGT